TATCATTTAAAACCTCTCTAATTTGCCTTTCTCAGCTTTTAGCTGTTTTCCCAATTGCTTGAGGCTAATCAACACAAGAAAAGCAAGTGTTCTGTTTAGCTACTGAAGACAACAATTTCAGTGAATGTGTCGGAGTACTGGAGCCCTTTTTATGAGTAACCACTGGGACGCAGTCAAGGTAGGTGCAGTATTAGAATTTTTCAGCATTTAGATAGATAGATACATAGATAGATACATAGATAGATACATAGATACATAGATAGATATAGAGAGATACATAGATAGATAGATGTTATGAGACATGTTATTATCCCTATTTTATAGCTGAAGTTTGGAAAAAGGTTTAAAATTTTTTTTAATTTTTTTAAATTAAAAAAATTAAATAACATGCTCAAGATTACCCAGATTACCCAGCCAGTAAAAGGCAGAGGTAGAGTTTGAACTTTGCTTTGCCTGTTTCCAGAACGTCTGACTCTTAGCTGCCATGTGATACTGTTCCCAGTATACCCTTGTGGCTCCTACTAGGACAGGCACTCATTGCCTGCTTTATTGATACTCATATTAGCCAGCTTGTCCTGTTAAAATTTAAACAGCTAAAGATCAAGCAGAAACCTGTAGTCTGCCAAAGCCAGAGTTATTGACTGGATGTAGCAAAGAAACACATACCAGAGCAATCATGGAATATCATGCAGGTATGAAGGAGAAGTGTCTTATGTAAGGTTTGAGTTCCTGCTGAAGAATTCTGAAGAGGGTGGAAATAAAGTGGCAGTCAGATCTCGATTAGTTTCTGTTTCTGAGGTGGGAATAGGAGGAGCAGGGATTAATTAGAACTGGGGGCTGTCATGAGGGGAGTGCAGTCCACCAATTGAGTATTCCCACTAATAGATGGGACAAGTAGAGCAGGTCTGGGGCACCATTGGTAACAGCACCATCCACTCGGTGAGCAGGTCATGATGGCATTCTACAGCAGCCCTGTGATCTTGGTAGTGTTTCCTGCAAACTTTACAGCTGGCATTATCCATGTCTGTCATATGAATCTGAATAAAGGTTTTGTTATTTTTCTGTCTGAGCTGATTTTCACTCTGGTCACAGGGATGTTTTTACTCTTTCAGTTCTCCAAACGTGCTGCTATCCCAGCAGGAGTTTTACTGAACTCAACAATTTTCAACACAAACATCCATTCATGTGTACCTAATACACCTTATATATATTAGGCACATCTCTAGGCAATGGGGAATCAACCATCTAATAAAAACATTTCTTTCATATGGCTAGGGTCATTAATAGACCTTGGAAGAATAAAAAATAATGTCGGGGCCGGATGCGGTGGCTCACGCCTGTAATCCCAGCACTTTGGAAGACCAAGCCGGGTGGATCACGAGGTCAGGAGATCGAGACCATCCTGGCTAACACGGTGAAACCCCATATCTACTAAAAAAAATACAAAAAAATTAGGCAGGCATGGTGGCAGGCTCCTGTAGTCCCAGCTACGCGGGAGGCTGAGGCAGGAGAATGGGGTGACTCCAGGAGGCTCAGCTTGCAGTGAGCGGAGATGCACCACCGTACTCCAGCCTGGGTGACAGAGCGAGACTCTGTCTCAAAAAATAAAATAAAATAAAATAAATAATAATAATGTTGAACCAGGACTAGTTGGAGGACTCCTGGACTGAGTAGTGAAATCAATGTCTTCTGATATTATATTATGAATTTTGAATTTCATCTCTTTCATAGGAAAATCTATTTTCTGAGCAAAAGTAATCATAGGAAGATATAACCCCTTTCTTTGCCCAGGTTCCTAGAAGTTAGATAGATTATGCAATAGAGAATAAAATGAAAAGAAATATCAGGGGTCCCACTGAAGGTCACAGTGGTTTCCTCTCACCATCTTCTTCCTTAGACCTCCTGTGCTCTGTAATCAAAAACAATTCAGGGCCTACAATGGAGGCATAACTCAATCATTTAACATTATAGGTTGAGTACTTTCTATGTACTAGGCTTGGTATTAGTCAACACAGCTAAAATATGATTTGGATATCATCTCTGTCTTGAAGTTGTTCATAATCTACAGATATTAGCAGTTGTGGTCACAAAATATGACACCACAAAGAGAAAACTCTAAATGTTATGGCATCATTAGCAATAGGCAAGCAGTAGAAACGGCGACTGCATCACAGTGTCCAGACTGAAGCATCAGAAAGGAGGTTTGTATTAAAAACCAAGTAGAGCAGTTTTCTACTTATCAGAAAGCCTGCAGTACTGCTCAACTTTTAATTGAAATTTCTGTTTTCAGCATCTCTCTCCCTATAGCAGGAATTCCTCCTGAAGGAAGTATTAAATCAAAGTTTAGACTTAAAAAAAATCAAGAAATTCCCATGGAAGAGATATAGTACTCCAAATTGGTTTTACATTTCTTCTGATAGGGAAAAATTACTCACAAGATCAATGATTTGTTCATGCTTAACATTCATCAGCTATGTGAAAAGGAAAATATATGTTTACTATATACCATATAAGTAGCAGAATTATAATTGATAGCAGTATTCTGATATATATATGCTGTTAGATTCAAAACCAATATATATTGAAAAACTGCTCAAGAATATATGTCATTTAAAATGACATTAAATAGTACTTCAATTAGGCCTCTAATTTATGTTTGGGATGTGGGAGAGAAGTGAAGATGAAGACCAAAATTACATAAGCTTGAGCCATTAGAGAAATTAAATATAACACACATAAACATGGGGAGTTTATTTCAAATATCCTGATGTCAAAGCCACAAATTATGAAATTGTATTTGGTTTCATACTAATACCAAAACATCAAGATGGCATCCACAATTGACTAAATTTATTTCGAGCAGCCACAGTTTGTACTTTGCCAACCCACATATTCAGCCAAGTACATAAACGTGTCCCCGTCACAGATGTAATTTGTGGTCAAAAGAGCATTGCGGAGTCCCTGCAGTCATCCTCAGACAAAAAAAGGCTTCAGGAAAGATCATTTACACTGGGTCAAACATTGAAGTTTAAAGGTTTTACTCTGTGATTGAGGTTTATTATTGGGCATCTTATCAGAATAAAATAATGTGTGGTCTGTGGCATATTTTTAAAAATATGTAGAAAAGTAGAAGGTAAAAAAAAAATTACAAGAATACAAAGACCTCTTTGAAAGTTTATGTGTTAGCTATTTTCCATATGACATTTATTATTTTCCTTCTGTGCCCTCGCCTTGACACATTAAGTGCAGAGTGCTGTGTCCTTCTGCATTTCTGAAACTGGTCCCTTGCTAAAGTTATCTGCAGGAACACGGCAGAGAGGTCAAAAGAGCATGGCCTTTGCAGCTGGACAGATCTGAATTCTAATCCTGTCTCTGCCCTCTAGTGACTATTGGGCTTGAGCAAGTCATTTTACCTGACTCAGTTACAAAATATATAAAATTGGGGTAAGAAGACCTACCATTGTATGTTGTTGTAGTCACGTCATAATATACGTAATAAGCCAACATAGTCTTGTAGGTGGCCGTAGGGCAGTGAGTAGCATCGCTCATAGTAATGATAAGTTTACTGTTTGTTATTGATAGTGTCCTTAGGAGCTCTGCTACTTGAGGGCTGTTTATATTGCCCTTGTTATCTGCCCTGACTTTTTGACACTCACTTTCCTGCTCATTACTAAGAACCACTTTATCTGTATCTGATAAAGCTTTCCCTCATATGTTTCCAGGCAGCACCAAAAGCCCCAGGCAGGGCGATGTTGAAGACAAGCAAGTAGAAAGACACTATTATCTTCCACCTTATAGGGAACATGAATGTGCTTTTAATGACGAGAGATTCAGGAGAAATGCCCTAAATCAATCTCCCTGAATATAAAAGGACCATGCTAAAGAATGAGCTGTTTATGGTCACTTTTAATATGATAGATAATAATAACTTATTTGGTGGTTTCAAATTTAGAGAATAAACTTTCAAAAATTAACAAAAACTGTTACATTTGTAAGCCATTGACTACATTTTTTAGGCCTTCACTCATTCTAGCAGCATGTTCATTGAAGATAGTACCAGCCAGGCATAGTGGCTCATACCTGTAATCCCAGCACTTTGGGAGGCTGAGGCAGGAGGGTCACTTGGGCCCAGGAGGTTGAGGCTGCAGTGAGCTATGACTGAACCACTACACTCCAGGCTGAGCAAGAGAACAAGGCTCTGTCTCTTAAAAGATAATAATTAATTTATTAAAAAAGAAGATAGTGCCTAATAGTTGTGGACACTGGGAAGAAAGAGTATGACTTTTTGGTCCTACTTTACAGCAGTTTCTCAAAAATCCTCATGTCATCAGGACCCATAAACTTACTTGATTATAGGAGTATCCCTTCTAAGTGTCACCCAAGATATGAAATAAGTCCATAGCATATTATAATACATCATTTCAATTTTTAATTCACAGTATAATATCTCAGGGCAATTGTTCTTTAGGTAAAAATTGAATGAGATTATTTAATATTATCAGAAATACATTACTTAAATCATTCCATATAAGTATATAAATGTCTTAAAACCATTGGGATGTGAAATTATGCAAGATCTACCTAGCATACCTATGTTGTCATTATCTCAGGAAAAATTATTTGTATTTTTACTGTTATCTCTTTATCTTATTTTTATAAAGCTTACTTTTTTAACACCTGTATATACGTTTCTTGACCTTTTGCCTTCTGGTAGGAATTTGGGACTGCCAGATCATAGGGACAACATACACATTTGTGATATTATTTTAAATGATTAATTTAATCATGTTGTGTAAACAGTTCACATGATCTCACACACAAAATCTTTGACCAAAAGCTTTTGTTTTTCTTAAATCATGTAAGCATAAGAGACTCTGTTTTGTAAAAGGACCCCTTTGTTTTCCAGGGCTATGCAATCTTGCCTTAGCCGAAGCAGACTCAATGAGCAATACTGGCATTTATCAATGAAATAATATGCACACTTTCGGTTTACCTTGTAGGTGCACCCACCCCATCGCCAAGTCTTCTCGGCTTGCTGCTGCCTGCCCTTGGCATCCTTGTCTACTTGGAATTCTGAATGTGTTGTGATAGCTGCTGTTCCCACCCCAGCTCAGAAGACATCCTTCATCCCTTGGATGACCACAATTCCTTCCAATTTCTGCGACTCCATCCTAAGCCAAATAAATTATACTTTAACAAACTATTCAAGTGATTTACAACTCACATGATGACTGAGGCATTCAGGAACCCCTTCATCCAAAAGAATAAACTTTTAAATGGATATAAATGATTTTTAACTCGTTCCAATATGCCTTATAAACCACTTAACCTGATTCTGTGACAGTTGCATGATTTAACCCAATGGGACAAGTTACAGTGTTCAATTCAATACTATAGGCTGTAGAGTGAAAGTCAAATCACCATATACAGGTGCTTTAAATTTAATAACAAGTTGTGAAATATAATAGAGATTGAATTGTTGGTTGTATGTGGTAAATGTAAGAGTAATACAGTCTCTTGTAATTTCCTCACTGTTTTGGGTACTGCATATTATTGAATGGCCCCTATCATTCTTGACATCTTGAGTTTAAAGTGTAACAAATATTTTGTCATAAATCCCGTTATCAAATCATGAGTTGAAAGATTTTGACTATTGAAAACCAAATTCTAGAACTTACTATCAGTATTTTCATTTTCAAAGTAAATAATTTTCTAAATATTTGATTTTCAGAATCAGTTTTTTAATAGTAAAGTTAACATACCATATAAAGATTTTTTTTTCACTTTTATATTCTACTCTGAAGTTATTTTATGCTTTTCTTATCAATTTCAAATCTCAAAAATCACAGCTCTTATCTAGAATATCATGATATTGCTATATTTGTTCATATGTGGAATGACAAATTTTGAAAAGTAGAGTGCTTCCTTTTTTATTGAGATGTGACAGTCTTTACACAGTTAGGAATAAGTGACAGTTAAGTGAATATCACAATTACTAGTATCTTGGTTTTTCTGCTTCATTCCTAAGTATTACGTCTCTTTATTGCAGATGTCAGATCAAAAAGTCACCTGTAGGTTGAAAAAGCTACAGCATTCCATTTTGTATAATAATAATAATAATAATAATTAGTTTTAAGCTCAATTCCCACTTCAATGCAATACTGAAAACGGGCTAAAAATACCAAATCAATATATTGCTAATGGTACTTTGAAGAGTATGCAAAACTAGAAGGCCAGGAGGAGGCAAATAATATGTCTTTCCGATGGTGTCTCCCAAGTGTTGGTGCTTTGGGTTTTTATAAGTTGTGAAAAGGAAGATGCACATTTATTCATTCTCCATGGTGTGCATGGAAATGTGTTTGAATGTGGATGTAAAAGAAATCGAGTAATAAAGAATTAGCTGGCTCATGAAATAGTGCAATGTTGGATGCTTCAAGAGGTATAATCCTATTTTATTAGCACAGACTTGCTAGCTAATTAGAGTTTATCTTTTTAGAAAGGATACCATACAGGTTCGTAAAAAATATTTACAGGAAGCAAAATAGATCTATTACTACTTTACCCCCCTTTCTTTAATTTGTATAATTTTTGTACTATATATCGATGTGTAAATGTTTAGAGCCTTCATTATGAAAATATCAATAAATATTTCATTAGTTTACATTTAACTCTTTGTTATAAAATGAAACTTTTAAAAATAAGTGAAATGGATGATTTCCCAGTGGAAGTACGTCAACAGTCTTAAGATCATTGCAATATTTCATAAAATATTTAAGTATTTGAAAAAGAAACAAAATGTCTTCATACTTTAGGGAAACGAATACTCTGTATACCTTCTGTACAAATGTTTGTGTTTTCATTGTTACACTTTGGGGTTTTACTTTTGCAATGTGACCCAGGTTGGGCATTTTTATATAATCAACAACTAAACCTTTTGCCAAATGCATGCTTGCCTTTTATTTTCTAATATATGACAATAATGAGCAAAACTGGTTAGATTTTGCATGAAATGGTTCTGAAAGGTAAGAGGAAAACAGACTTTGGAGGTTGTTTAGTTTTGAATTTCTGACAGAGATAAAGTAGTTTAAAATCTCTCGTACACTGATAACTCAAGCTTTTCATTTTCTCATACAGTTGTACAGATTTAACTGGGACCATCAGTTTTAAACTGTTGTCAAGCTAACTAATAATCATCTGCTTTAAGACGCAAGATTCTAAATTAAACTTTATATAGGTATAGATACATCTGTTGTTTCTTTGTATTTCAGGAAAGGTGATAGTAGTTTTATTTGATACTGATAAATATTGAATTGATTTTTTAGTTATTTTTTATCATTTTTTCAATGGAGTAGTATAGGACTGTGCTTTGTCCTTTTTATGAATGAAAAAAAATTAGTATAAAGTAATAAATGTCTTACTGTTACCCAAGAAAGAACAACTGTCCTTTCAATTTACCTCAAGTTTCAATTTATTTTTAGAAGGTTTTCATTGCAAGTTCAATAGCAGGAAATAAATATTCTGGTTAAGCAACAGTTCAGTATTTGAAGATACTACAAAAAGTACGCACATAGAAACACACACAGAGTCATTATTACATTGAAATAAGATCACCTGGTAAATAACTTCAACCCATGAAGATGTCAGTGAATATCAGTGTAAACTGAAACACTAAAGCAAGCTGCTGGATGCTAAAAAAAAAATGAGACTTTTTAACCCAGAATGAGCTGAGCCTGGAATAGAGGTATCTGCATAATGGCATGAATCTATGGGAGGAGTCTGCTACAGGTAAAGCTTCTGAGTCCTGAGGCAGGTGGGCCCAGAAAACTGCATCCCATGGCTGCCTGTGTTCTGATAGTGGTTTCGCATTGGAATTCTCATCTCCCTTCCTGTTTCATGAAGCGTGCTTCGCCTTGGATTCTGATTTTCCTGTTTGGACATTGTCTCTGTTTCTAGACCTTAAGTATTAGATTAGCTCCCTTCTAATATTTTGTATTTGGTATTTGACTTTCGACTGACCCCAGCTCAGATTCTCCAGGCTTTGAGAGATCAAAGCTGCTTTCTGTGAGAGTGTGTTCCATGTTAATGATTCTCAAACCTGGTTGCCCATCGGGATCACCTGGAGAATTAGAAAAATTAAAATGAATTCCCCGGACCCCAGTCCAGATTTATGAAATCAGAATCTGGGGACTGAGCTATATTTTGGAGGGAATATTCAGTACTATCTGATAGGGAGTTGGGTTTGAGGTGTTCATGATCACTGCAGGCTGGATTAACTGATAGTGTCAACTGAAAGAACAACATATTTCAATAGCATGTCTACATAACTTAATATCTCTTAAAAAAAAGAATCCATAACCTTGGCTTGCCTAAAATGCTGATTTGTTTATAATTATTCTTATTTTGTTCTACATCTTAATATCAAAATACAATGCACTTTTTGTCTGGCAAAAATATACCCTACCTTGTTTGTATCCAGACTGCAGACAAAAATGCACCTCAGAAGATTTCTCCTCTAAAGGAATGTGGACTTTTTCTTTTTCCTTCATGATACTTGGAAAATGAATTAAATTTTAATACTTAATTTCCCAAGTCTATCATCTTCTGGAGGTTGCTAATAAAAAAAAATGATGAAAGCCTCCTCCAAACTTCAGTATTTGTTTCTTCAGAATAGACATATGATGACTTTGAATGAATTGACCTGTAAACTAGTTTATAGGTTTCACCATTGTTCATCCTATTTTAAAACCAAGTTTCACTTTTCCATTACTAGAAATAAGTCCGCTGCCTGGGGTAATATATATCAGTTCCTACAATGCCATTACTAATTTTGCTCTAGAATTCAGTCAGGCTCATCCTCAAGCACAACTGTGAAGTTAATCCTTTTTCATTCAGGATCATTTTCTTTCACAGATGCTGCCTTGAAAGCAAAGCCAAATATCTTAATCTTTTCTTGCATTTGTTTCCCAGAACTGCAGTAAAAATTACCACAAGCTAAGGGGCTTACAACACATAATTTATTTTCTCACAGTTCTGGGGGCTGTAAGTCTAAAACGAAGGTGTCAGCCTGCCTTCTGGAGACTCTGAAGGAGAATCTGTTCTAAACCCCTCTCTCGTTTCTTTTCATGGTTGCAGGCAGTGCTTGATATTCCTTGGCTTGCAACTGTAACACTCCGATCTCTACCTCTTGCCACATGGCATATTCCCTGTGTGTCTTGGTGTCCACATTTCTCTCTTTTATCGGGACACCAGTCACTGGATCATGGACCACCTTAATATCCAGCATGACCTCAATTTAATTACATATGCAAAGACACTATTTCTAAATAAGGTCACATTCACAGGTACTGAGTGGACATATATTTTGTCTCAACCTAGTATAGTTCTCATTTCCTCTTTTTAAAACCTGATATGCATCACTCACGCTAATGTGGATATGACTGAAATTCTGCTCTAAGCATCTTTTCAGAAAGCATTTATGTTGATAGTTTACAACAATATGGATGAAACTCAAATGCATTATGCTAAGTGAAAAGAAGCCAGATTCAAAATGCTGTGTGATGCCATTTATAGAACATTCGGAAACAGTCAGAATGCTAGTGGTTGCAAGGAGTTGAGAGGAGTTGGAGGGTCTGACTGCACAGAAGCGGCATGAGGGAACTCTTAGGGGCGATAGAACTGGTTGTGGTGACTGAAATCTATGCATTTGTCAAAACTCACAAAATTGCCCATCAAAAGGGTGAGCTTTACAGTATGTACATTAAAACAACTTTTTTAAAAATGAAATTTTGAAAAGATCATGACCATTGGACAGATCTGTGATAATATTTTAATGCTACCTGTTATTACCTATAAGATCTTGGACAAGAAATATGGCATTCTGAGGTGCAGTTTCCTCTTCTCTAAAATAGAGATAACACTTCTCAATTGTTCAGAATTCTTTTAGTTGCAAATGACAGACACTCAACTCCAATAGCTTTAAGGAAATAACAAAAAAAGAGTCTATTGGCTCAAATAATGTAGTCTCTAAGATGGAATAGATATAAGGGCTTTAGTAATGTTCTCAGGGTTTCTCTTCATCCATGGATTCTGCATCTCTGGCAGGTTATCTTTTTGTGGAAGGAATCCGGGGTGCTGACATTTCCAAACCTACGTCCTCCTGATCAGTGGTCCAAAAGTATTAGCGCCTGTCTCACTCTGACTCAGCATACATAGAAAATCTCAGTGAAGACTCAGATTATTCCCAGGAATGTAGTACATTTTATTTGCCACTTTGGATAGCCTGTCTACCCTTCTGGGTAGTGAAATGGTGGCACAAACATTGTAATAGAAATATCCACCGGCCAGGCATGGTGGCTCATGCCTGTAATCCCAGCACATTGGGAGGCCAAGGAGGGTGGATCATCTGAGGTCAGGAATTTGAGACCAGCCTGGCCAACATGGCGGAACCCTACCTCTACTAAAAATACAAAAAATCAGTGGGCGTGGTGGTGTGTGCCTGTAATCCCAGATACTCAGGAGGCTGAGGCAGGAGAATTACTTGAACCGTGAGGGTGGAGGTTGCAGTGAGCTGACACCGTGCCACCACTGCACTCCAGCCTGGGTGACAGAGTGCGACTCTGTCTCAAAAAAAAAAAAAAAAAATCCCACCAGGACTAGATGGAGTGGAGAAGGATGTTCTCCTAGAAGAAATATCAGATGCCTGTCACCACGAAAATCCTCCTTTTACCACATCTCAAATGTGCACTATTCCTGGTGATGAAAGGTGAGGGGAAACCATGGTTAATCAGTCCCATCTACAGTGCTTTTATTATTTCTAAGAATGACATGAATATTCAACTATAGTACAAGTTTCCAAGGGACTTCAAAACTTCATTAGAAAAGCTTATCCACATTACACAATCACAATCACTTCAAGTAATCACAGGGAAGGGACGTGTCACATTAAAGTGTTGCAAACACATGCACTATTTTAAGTGAACTATATTCATTATTCACAAAACCTCAGTGGCATATAACAGTAAAAACTGCTCACACATTTGAACAGCAATAGGTCAGATATGTGGCTTTGCTTATCTGAACTGAACTCCCTCACATGTTCAGGAGTCAGTTGACTGTCAGCTGTCCAAAGCTGCCCTTAGATGGGGCCTTTAGGGTAACTTGGCTCCGTTTCACTTTTCTCCCATTCTCCAGCAGGCTAGACCTGGCACGTTCTCACAGCTGACAGAGATGCAAGAAAGCGTGTGGAAACATGTAGCTACTCTCTCAAACTTTTGTTTGCCTCATGTCTGCTAACATCCTATTGATCAAATTGAGTCATATTATAAACCCGGAACCAAGAGGCATGGTAGGTCACCCACATATGCGGGTGGGCATTTTAAAGGTACAGCAGAGGATGTGGACATAGGAAGTATTGAAGAATTGGAGCCACATGATGTAATCTGCCACAGATACTTACCAAATTCCACTGGCTCTAAGAGGCCATCAATTTTACTATTAAAAAAGAAAAAATATTTATAATTAAACTATAACACAATGCTTGTTTATCATGTAGAATTGTTATTCTTATTGAAACAGCTATTTATTTGTACATGTTTTTATGATGTTATACTCATGCATAGGCAACAAAGAAGCTATACAAAAATTGTGCTAAGATAGTCTGACAAATTCTTTACATTTAGAATAAGCCTCATAAATCGCTCCTAAACTTTCAGTAGTTGATATTTGTATTTTGTTACAAAATGTCATATTTTGGTGGTAGTGGTGTCTACATCATTACTTAAAGGATGCTCCAATATTTCTTTCAAGCTTCTGATGCCTATTCTGCCAGTGTTTTCTCAATCTTACCAGTCATCAACAGAAAGTTATTGTGGCCATTGAAAAAAATATGTTCATAAACTCTTCTCTTCAAGAGGTGGAAAGTAATTCTGGTCCCCTTGAGAGTGGGCTGAATTTAATGAATCACCTCTGGAGAATGGGATAAAGCAGAACTGATAGTGGAGGACTTTGGAAACTAGGTCATTAAAAGCCAGTGTGGTCTCCATCTTAATCATTCTCTTTCTCTCTCTCTCTCTCTCTCTCTCTCTCAGATCAATGGCTCTTTGAGAAGCCAGCTGTTACATTCTAAGGGAATTCAGCCAGCCCTGTGGAGATATTCATATAGTGAGAAACTGATACCTCCTGCCAGCATCCCTGTGAGTGAGCCATCTTGCAAGCATATCAGCCTGTCAAGCCTTCAGATGAATACAGTCTAGGCTGAAAGCCTAACTGCCATATAATGAAAGACCTTGAGCTAGAATCGCCCAAACGTCTGCTCCCAGGTTTATGACTTTCAGGAACGATCAGAGATAGTAATAATTTGTTGTTTTAAGCCACTATATTTTGGAGTAATTTATTATATAGTAATAGATAACTGTACAATTGGCATATGATTAA